TGGGCCCGGTCCAACTTAAGCCCGCTAGGGTTTTATGCAAGACATATAAATACTTGATTTATAGGTCTTGCACATAACACAACTCAACCCTAACCCTAGCAGCCGTCCACCTCTCTCTCGGCCTCTCTCTCCCACGGCCAACGCCGCCGCCCACTCCGCCGTTTCGCCGGAATCGGCCGATTGGCTTGGTAGTCTCTTTCCTTCTCTTTTTCTTCCGTTTTTCTAACTATTACGTGTCTAGTGCCACGTGTTTAGTAGATTGAAGTATACGAGGTGAAATCCGAGAGGAGGAAGATCGAAGATCGAGGAATCGAAGAGCAGCGCACGAGCCGAAGCCGCACGCTGCCCCACGCGCCGCCCCGGAAGTCCGCGCGTGTACCTCACGCGCCGCCGTGGGACGATCTGCTGCTGCTGCCGTTGCACCGCTGCTGCCCCGATTGTACGGATTGGTTTCCGTAGCAATCTCGACTTGCTAAACGCTCCTACCTCACGCTTCAAGAGGTAAATATACGAAACCCTAGTTTCGATTCGTTTTGTTTAAACTATGAATTCATGTTTGCTATCGTATGATTTTACGTGATTATGTGTAATCGTTTTAATCTTTGCAAGCATGTTAATTGGTTTAAACGCGAGCATGTTAATTGATTTAAATTCGGTTAAATTATTTAGCATGTATGTTGTTTTTAATTTCGCTGGAAGCGCAAAGGTACGCAATTAATTGTTTTAATTCATCGGGCATGTACTTGTGTGTTTTAAAGTCGTTTAATTCGCACAAAATTTTTGTTTTCCGCTGCGTATGCGTGCCCGAAACCCAACACCGTTAATAATAACTTTTCTAGTGGGCGTCAAAAGTTGTGCACATTCGCAATCGGTCAGTCACTTGGAATATACTCTTCTTGGCCACTCTTGGCGTTATCCCATCACGTTGTGTGTGGTATTGCGTGAAGGTTTTTGGCGCGCCGCACCGGCCTCTTCTTTCCCCACCCTTACCTTACTCTGGTTGGGGAAGGCCTTTTAGGCCTTTAAAGCAAGGAAGAGGACTAGGAAGTGGTACATAAGCACAAGCAATCGGAGTTGGCAGGTGCATTAGGCATAAGGGAAGGTTGACTTTTCCTTTCCGTGAAGTTTTTGTTCGAGGCCCCCTTCTTAGTCAATGGACTGATAGTTGAGGAGACCGGATCATGACTTCTAGGTAAACCTGTAAGCTATTTTTTGACTGACCGGATCGGTCACCCCTCAGCCCCCCTATCACAACAAGGTAGAGCTAACTCAACTAGTGTTCTCTAAAAGGACTGCTTATTCTATTATAGTCAAGCTTGGAGAACATAGTACTAGGACTTACTACATGACGTGATTGGTGAAGGGCCTAAGAGCTAACAACGTTAACTGTAGATGGACTTCTATGCAAGTTGTTTGTAACATAGGGGGATTTGGGCATGGTTTTGCAACACAAGGGGGGTTTATGCAAAATTAATTTATTCATTTAAATTCAAAATATTTTATTAAATTAAGTCGAATACATCTATTTACTAAAATATGAAAATTAAAAATTTAACATTCAAGACGGAAGTTGGAACGAATTCTCAAATTATTTATGTTCTTTTCACATATAATTCATACATAATAAATTATAAAAATATATAATCATTCTTATAAAATAATTATATATTTTCAATAAATCAAATTTTTAAATACATTAATAAGTTATATCATATAAAAATTGATTTGTTTTGAAAAACATTCACAACACCAATTATTTTTTTATTTTTCATATTGTAAGTGAATAAATGTGACGCAGGACGGGAGCACAAAAGGAATTAATTTCTACGAATTAATCCTATAGAACACGATAACATTCGGAATCCACCGAAAACTCTGGAATCCACCAGAAAAATAGAGAAAACTCTAAATATTTTATTAAAATTCGAAATTCTCCTCAAAATAAAGTCCTAAGGCAGCTATTTATACTAAAAAACTGAAAACCCTAATTAAACTAAGAAAATACCAAAAATTACCAAAAACGGCAAAAACGAGTTAAAGTCTGATTCTAGTAGATCTCATAATTTTGGGAACAACCCAGTTTACGGAATCCTAATCCGATTTTTCTATGATTTGATATTAATTTTCTAAAACTTGCCTAAAATAGCAAAAACGAACTTTTGGGAGTCTAAACGACGTTGGATTGCTGAAATTTGACGTGATTAATGAGCTTTGCTCATGAGTTTTGTTCCTTGCGCCGTTTCACTTGAGATAGAGTTCGTTTCGTACTCAAATACAACTTGAGTTCGCCGAAAACCCTTATTTTTCCATAATTTCTTTCGATATTTCCACCAATGCCCATTAATAACTCTTCTCCGAATTAAATAGTTATTTTGCAACACGAATCCACTTTGACGTTCCTTATCAATCTCCTCTTCTTCAAAAGAGCTCGACCTCGAGCTATGATCAAAATATAGCGATGCATATTTCTTTGCAAACAACTTCAAGTGCTCCACCAATATTCCCGGCACAAAAATCTTGCTTACAAATCTTCATCCAAACGAGGCGTTGGAAAAATTGGCTTCTTAATCGAAAATTCCAATGGCTCCACCAATTTCTCCGATACAAGAACTTCACAGCAAACACTATCTACAATTAGATCACATACTTCAACGCAATCCACTTGTTCTTTATCTTCTCGTGCACCTTCCTCTTCTTGAACAAATTCTGCAACTTCAAAATCTTCCTCAAATTTACTTCTAACACCCTCTTTAAACTCGTCGACTTCTTCTTCAAGCTTGCTAACATTGTCTTCTACCCCATTGTCGCTCTCTTCAACTTTGTTGATGCTCGCTTCAAACTCGTTGGCCGTCCCTTCAACTTCGTCGATGTTCACTTGGATTTCGTTAATGTCATCGCTAATAATAGCTACGCTACTTTTAACTTTTACGATAATTTCCTCTTCAACTTCGTCAACTCCTACGTCATGATCCTCCACCAAATTTGGAGGTTGAATAACGAACGAAGTATCTTGTGCCTCCTCAATTTTGACAACAGGTGGAACATCTTCAGTTTTTCTAGAAGCACTATTTCGCTCATAATATTCCGCACTCCATGCTAACTCTTGAGCCTCTTCAAGGGTGTAGAATATACGCCACCCCATCCTAAGACGTATTGAAATATTCAAACCTGCCAAGTACCGTGAAATTTCCGTACTTTCGGATTCTTGAAGGTTATTTAAGTTTGCTAGTCTCTCAAACTCAGCAGTATACTTGTTAACAGATCTACTCCCTTGCGGACAATTACGATATAGTTGAAATAGACGTTGCTCATAACCTAAGGGTAAAAAACGATCCATCAACATTTTTCTCATCCTCCTCCATGATTGGATTGTAAATTTTTCTTGTCTAGCTCTCTTCCTCTGTATTTCATCCCACCATGCGGCTGCACAACCCTTTAACTCACACCTAACCAATTTTACCATCTTATTCGGCAAAATATCCATCAATTCAAAATAATTTTCGACTTCTGACACCCAATCGATAAAATCCTCAACTTCAAGAAAATTTCCACTAAAAGAAGGAATTTCAGCTCTTACCCGATATTTATCACGATCTTTTTGCCTCCTTCTAGGCGGATTTTCTTCAAAATCAGAGTTGCCGCTCATCTTTGAATAGTCGTCATACCTTGATTGAAGTTGAACAGGTCCATGATAATTATGTCTAACATATGCACCTCGGGCTACACCGTCGGCAATACCCATGCTAGATCCAGTTCTTCTGTTGTTGTTGTCAAGGGCAAATCCCTCGCGCACCAACCGCAGATTTTGCAGTTTCTCAACCCCGCGGTCATCGCCAACGTAGTTGTTGTCTCCATGTCTCGCACCTTTCGCCATCTAACCAGGAAAAACCTCGCTACTGATGCCAACTGACGCAGGACGGGAGCACAAAAGGAATTAATTTCTACGAATTAATCCTATAAAACACGATAACATTCGGAATCCACCGAAAACTCTGGAATCCACCAGAAAAATAGAGAAAACTCTAAATATTTTATTAAAATTCGAAATTCTCCTCAAAATAAAGTCCTAAGGCAGCTATTTATACTAAAAAACTGAAAACCCTAATTAAACTAAGAAAATACCAAAAATTACCAAAAACGGCAAAAACGAGTTAAAGTCTGATTCTAGTAGATCTCATAATTTTGGGAACAACCCAATTTACGGAATCCTAATCCGATTTTTCTATGATTTGATATTAATTTTCTAAAACTTGCCTAAAATAGCAAAAACGAACTTTTGGGAGTCTAAACGACGTTGGATTGCTGAAATTTGACGTGATTAATGAGCTTTGCTCATGAGTTTTGTTCCTTGCGCCGTTTCACTTGAGATAGAGTTCGTTTCGTACTCAAATACAACTTGAGTTCGCCGAAAACCCTTATTTTTCCATAATTTCTTTCGATATTTCCACCAATGCCCATTAATAACTCTTCTCCGAATTAAATAGTTATTTTGCAACACGAATTCAATTTGACGTTCCTTATCAAAATGTGTTCGACTTAATTTAAGGAAATAATATGAAATTTAAATAAATGAATTAATTTTGCATAAAATCCCCTTGTATTGTAGAAAATATGAACAAAATCCCATTCTGTTAATTTTGTTTTGCATAAAATCCCATCTATAGTTAACGGTGAAAAGGGAATTTCGTGTAGATTAAAATGAAACACAAGAGGATTTTACGCAAGAATAAAAACACAAAGGGATTTGGCATAGGCTTTTCTTAACACGGAGGGGTTTTATGCATTTTACCCAAATCTTCTTGCTCGATCAACTCAAAAGGCATACATACCGGAAGCAATTTGCTAAGAAAAAAATGTTCATTTAAATGGTATGGATATTTTCTTAACGAGACCTCATTTCATCCAAAAAAAAAAAAAAAAAAAGAAAAAATTATTTCTTTAGTTAGAAAAAAATAATAAAAAATATAATATATATTTTTGGGCTTGGGTTGCGAAAAGGGCCGAAGTGATTGGTCCCGCCACATCCAAACGTTTGTCGTTCATTTACAACTAAATTTTATCCAAACACACCAGATAACGGATACTCTCCTTCTCCCCCCTCAATATCTCAAGAAATAAAAAAACATGTAAAATTCCTGCACAACAGTTGATTCAGTTTTTTTCCATGGCATCTCTGCCTCCAGTTGCGTTTAGCAACACCGTCAAAATGGATCAAGAATTCAAGAAATTCTCCGCTCCTTCTCTTCCATTTGAAAAGGTAGACCGCTTTTGTATTTTGTTAATCCTCAAATTATACGCTGTGGGTTATATGTTATACTGAGTTATTCTTAATTTTTCCCAAGTGTAGAAAAATCATGGCACGAAAGTGTTGGATAAAGATTTGGGCTCGTTCAGTTCGGAATTCAGAGAAGCACTTTCGTTGATAAGAGAAGGTAACAGAAAACTTGAATCATCTTCTTATGTTCCTCTTTTGCGAGAGTGTATGGAGAATAGTTCTGTTAGAGGGGTAGCTTCCATTCACTCCCACATTTTTAAAACTGGGTTTTGTGAAGAACTATTCCTCATGACATTTCTTGTCAATGTTTATGCAAAATGTGGTGAGATGGCAAGTGCTCGTAAGGTGTTCGACAATTTGCCTAAGAGAAACGTTGTCACCTGGACTTCGTTGATGACTGGCTATATCCACAATTCGCAACCCGAGTTCGCTATTGATATTTTCAAGGAAATGGTGGAAGTCGGGGGTTACCCTACGAATTACACATTAGGAATTATCTTAAATGCTTGCTCTTCTTTGTTCGATATTGAATTTGGGAAGCAGATTCATGCATACATCATAAAGTATGATATTGAGTACGATGCAAGCATCGGGAATGCACTCTGTAGCTTTTACTCCAAATGCCGCTGCCTCGATATGGCAATTAGGGCATTTCAGAGGATCGAGGAAAAGAATGTGATTTCATGGACAGCTGTAATATCTGCTTGTGGGGACAATGGAAATTCCGCTATGGGATTGGATATGTTTGTTCAAATGCTTGCCGAGGGTGTCGAGCCAAATGAGGTAACTTTGACGAGTGTATCGAGTTTATGTTGCACAATGCAAGCCCTGGATGCAGGATCTCAGGTGCATTCTCTGAGTATAAAACTTGGGTACGAGTCAGATTTGCCCGTAGCAAATTCTATTATGTATTTGTACTTGAAAAGTGGGTGCATTAGCGGGGCAAAGAAGTTATTCGATGGCATGAACACTGTCAGCTTAATTACATGGAATGCCATGATTGCGGGCCATGCAGAAATGACTAGTCATGCAGATGACAGTCTTTCAGCCTACATTTGTGGGACTGAGGCCCTTAAAATATTCCATCGAATGCAGAAATCAGGGTTGAAACCCGATTTATATACCTTCTCAAGTGTGTTATCTATCTGCAGTAGTTTAGTGGCTTTAGAGCAGGGGGAACAAGTTCATGCTCAGACAATCAAGACTGGATTTTTGTCTGACATGGTTGTCGGAACTGCCCTCCTTAACATGTACAATAAATGCGGGAGTATTAATCGAGCAACCAAAACTTTTCTAGAGATGTCTACAAGAACATTAATTTCATGGACTTCAATGATAACAGCATTTGCACAAAACGGGCACTCACAACAAGCCCTAGAAATTTTCGAGGATATGAGATTTGTAGGGATTAGACCGAATAAGATTACCTTTGTAGCTGTGCTCTCAGCTTGTAGTCAAGCTGGAATGGTTGACCAGGGTTTAGCCTACTACGAAATGATGAAAAACGAGTACAAAATAATTCCTGTAATGGACCATAATGCGTGCATGATTGATATGTTTGTGAGGTTAGGTCGGGTCGAAGAAGCCTTTGACTTTATCAAGAAGATGGATTTAGCGCCAAACGAATTCATATGGTCAATCTTGATTGCGGGCTGTAAAAGTCAAGGGAAATTGGAGTTAGCGTTTTATGCTGCGGAGCAATTGCTTGAACTTAAACCAAAAGATCCGGAGATATATTTCCTACTGTTAAACATGTACCTATCTGCAGAAAGATGGAAGGATGTTTCTAGAGTGAGAAAAATGATGAAAGACGAGAAGGTGAATAAAGTAGTGGACTGGAGCTGGATTAGCATTCGGAACAAAGTGTATGCATTCAAGGCTGACACGAAGAAACATCACAACGATGAAATTGCTAAGCTTTTGGTGGATTTGCTTGATAGAGCAAAGGCTATTGGATATAAAGTCGAGACAAATTTGGAGATGACGGTGCATGACGAAAACGAGGAAGCAATAATTGCCTTGGAGCCTGCTCATGCCCATCACAGTGAAAAGTTGGCAGTTGCATTTGGTTTACTCAACACTTCGAACGAGGCACAAATTCGGGTTAACAAGAGTATTAGCATGTGTAGCGACTGCCATAATTTTATAAAATTCGTCTCGATACTGACGTCAAGAACTATAATAATTCGGGATAGTAAGAAACTGCACAAATTTGACACTGGACAGTGTTCATGTAAGGATTTTGGTAATCTTGTTTGATGACTTACTTTCGGGTGTCGTGATCATTTATTTAATAAATGATTGTGCAATTTCATCTAGATTTCTCGTTCTACTTTGTTCATCGTATATTTCTTGCATAAAGTTTCTCATTTTAGCAACTTTTATTATGAAGAGATCTTGATCTGGGTATTTGCTTGGATGGTTCTCTGTTGCAGGGAACTATTTTGTATATTTTTTCCTGTTCTTTTCTCTTCCTCTGTTTAGTGTTTTCTATTTTTTTTTGTAGTAATTCTACTTTAAAAAAATAATAAAAAGTTATTAAAAAAAATAGAAAATAAAAAAAGAAAATTAATTTTTAAAAGAAAAGGAAAAACGAAAAATGGGGGTGTGAGTAGTGGGAAGAAGCTAGTGGAAGGACAATTTTGGGTTTAGAGAGAAGGTGAAAGGAGTATGGGCTTATCTCAAATAGTGAAATATGAATTGAGCCTCTCTCTATTAATGAAAGGTTTGAGGGAGTTTTCTCAAAAAACATCTTATTTCTAAGCCTTTCAGGACATTCACGATAAAATTCAATATGCAATGCGTCCTTTTTCGACATTTTTTCTTGCGCTCATTTGCAACATATGTATTAACTTCAAGTTGCCATTTTATCAATAAATGCATTTAGCATTTTACTCATTAAAATTGTTGCAAATGAATTCCTTTTCATTTGCGCTCAATCTTTCTAAGCACAAACCAAGATGAAACAAATATTATTTCATATGATTTTACGCAATTTACAAGAATCGGCTTCTTATTTCTCCTTAACGGCGGAAAAATTGTCTCATCAAAATGACAATTGACTACATATGTCATAGAAATATCTCTCATTATAGGCTCAAAATAAATCATTGTAGAAGTAACAAACAAACCATGTAATATAGCATGACATCTAAAATAACTGTGTTTGAGTATTTAATTATTTTATAACAGATTCTGAAAATCAAAATGATCAAATTTCAAATTTTGAAAACTTAGGGACCAAATTGTAAATATTCAAAAAAATAGGAACAATGCTGCAATTTAAAAATCTCAGTGAAAACTTGAAATTATGAATATTATTATAATACGAATTCAATGTTTCTTGTGGACTAAGTAATTAAGAGGCAAAACTACGTGTCAATACCTCCTTTGTATGAATCATGTAATAGCATGACAATGCTAGTTATCCTCCTGTATAAATAGCTCCTATTGCAATACAAACAAGATACTAATTCTTCAACAACTTCTTTAGCATAATTTATCTCTTCGTTTATATTTTATCTTTCTTGCTATTTTACTTGGCACCCTCACTTAATATATATAATTATATATTTTATCTTATGAGCTAATAGGGTTTATTCTACAACACGTTATCAGCACGAGATTTTGCTCGATAGAGATTTGCTATTTTTCGTATTCTTCTTTCTATTTTATTTTACGAAAATCCAGATCCTCGATCTATTGTCGAAAAGACAAACAAGAATGATTAGCGAATACTTCGGTATTTTATACGCTATCATTTCTCAAAGGATATGATGGATTCGTGTAATACATACATATATGCTTATATATTTGTTGAATTGCTGCTAACATTTATATTTGAAAGCTTGTGGATCCCAAGCAGTGTTATAAGCATGTGCTAATTTTAACAGATCTGTGGGCCGACTTAGAGGCCAGGATATTAACTCCGAGCATGATGCTCGTCGAGTAAAAAATATAATAATCTCAGTTGAAAGTCGATTTAGAGACTATGAGATTAACTCCGAGCCTGATGCTCGTGGAGTTGAAGAAATAATAATCTCCATTTAAAGCCGATTTAGAGGCTATCAACTCCGGGCATAGTACCCGTAGAGCTTAGCAGAGACCGTATAGAGGTCATATTATAACTCCGAGTGAAAAACTCGTTGAGTCAAGACGTTGGAATTCCCGTCAAGTAAATGAAATATAGCTCCGAGCCTGAAGCTCGTTGAGACACGAACGCCGATTTAGAGGCTAAATCGTTAATAATACTCCGAGTCTAAACTCGTTGAGACAAGAAAGCCGATTTAGAGGCTAAATATTTAATATAGCTCCGAGTCTAAACTCGTTGAAGCAAGAAAACTGATTTAGAGGCTAAATATTTAACATAGCTCCGAGTCTAAACTCGTTGAAGCAAGAAAGTCGATTTAGAGGCTAAATATTTAACATAGCTCCGAGTCTAAACTCATTGAGACAAGAAAGCCGATTTAGAGGCTAAATCATAATATAACTCCGAGCCTGAAACTCGTTGAGTCAAGACGTGATAATATCCGTCAAAAGCCGATTTAAATGCCAAATATTTGAATATATCTCCAAGCCTGAAGCTCGTTGAGTTAAGACGTGATAATATCCGTCAAAAGACGATTTAAAGGCCAAATATCTAAAGATATCTCCGAGCCTGAAGCTCGTTGATCTAAGACGTGACAATATCCGTCGAAAGCCGATTTAAAGGCCAAATATCTGAATATATCTCCGAGCCTGAAGCTCGTTGAGTCAAGACGTGATAATATCCGTCAAAAGCCGATTTAAAGGCCAAATATCTGAGTATATCTCCGAGCCTGAAGCTCGTTGAGTTCAGACGTGATAAAACCCGTCAAGAGCCAACTTAGAGGCTATTAATCACAAGCCCAAATTTAAGGGGTTTTGGGTTATCTTGTACGCAGTGTATATATATCTCTCTCGGAAGATGTGATTCCCGAGATTGAGTTATTTTGTGTGTATCCATGTTTAACCTCTCTTGGATGATGTGATTCCCAAGATCGAGTTGTTTGGGTAAACCCATATGTACATATCTCCCTTGGAGGATAAATACCCGAGGTCGAGCTGACTGTGATACGCGTACATGAAAAACATGGCTAAATATGACTATTGCCTACTGAGATAGTGCAATTACACACTCAATATTTAATAAAATAAATATATTTCTCGAGTGTGACATTGTGCAAGACACAAGTTAAAATCATATTAGATCCCGTGGAGATAATAGATGACTCCGGGAATGCAATAATTATGTTGCATAATGATACCACGTATGCTTATTATTTACGCGAAATATAGTATTTGCGCGTTTGCTGGCATATATTATTGTGCAGCTCTGAAAATAAATGTCGAGCACCCAGTAGCATATACGTTCACACTCAATATGGACTGGCGGAATCTTTGATTAAACGCGTCCAAATAATTGCTCGTACATTGCTGATGAGATATAAACTCACTAGTACAACATGGGGCCATGCAGTATTGCATGCATCAGCGCTGATTAAATTACGCCCCGCTGCTTATCATATGCATTCCCCAATGTAATTGGCATTAGGCTTTGAGCCCGATATTTCGCACCTTCGCACATTTGGTTGCGCTTTGCAAGTGTCAATTCCTCCTCCTTAGAGGACTAAAATGGGTCCCCAACGCCGACTTGGCATATACGTTGGGTTTGATTCACCGTCGATTATTAGGTTCTTGGAACCAATGACGGGTGATTTATTAACCGCTAGATTTGCGGATTATCATTTTGATGAGACATTATTTATACCGATTGGTAAGGATATTCAGAATATCCGTGATAATGATAAACAAAAACCAATGGAGAATCTCACATGGTGTGAGCAACGCTTATCTCATCTCGACCCACGTACCTCTGAATGTGAAAATGAGATCCATAGAATCATTCATTTACAAAATATTGCCAATAGACTTCCTGATGCATTTAATGATGCCAGTAAAGTTACGAAGTCTTATATTCCAGCTGTGAATGTTCCAGCTAGGATCGTTGTTCGTGAAGAACATGCGAAAATGAATGATGATCCCCCACGACAAAAACGGGGTAGACCAATTGGATCAAATGACGTTGTTCCTAGAAAAAGAAAGGGGAAAATTGACGAACCCTCGAACCAAGTGGTTCCTAGTGAGAATGCTCCAGATGAATCTGTTGAGCCTGATATCGAAAAAACGATGTCAAATCTCGAGAATTCTGAGAATCCCATAAGTTATTTCAATGAAATATGGGATATAAATGAGATAATCATCGCTAATATTTTTACATTCTCAATTTCTCAATAGATTATTTACGATGATTATAATAATGAACAACGTTTTGTAATATTGCAGATTATATAATGAAGAGAAGAGTCAGAAAATAAATGGCGGTATACGCTATTGGAATGAGATGAGCCAATATGAAGTACGATTGACAGGCCATCTCTGAAGCTATATATTTCTCAATTCCAGGGGGAGAAATAGTGCGCTGTACTCTTTTTCCCTTATGTCTGGTTTTGTCCCGTTAGGTTTTCCAGCAAAGGTTTTTAACGAGGCAGCTTATGCACGCGGCTTGGATTGAGTTATGCGCTCTTTTTCCCTTCTGACCGGTTTTGTCCCACTGGGTTTTCCGGCTTGAGGTTTTTAACGAGGCATACATATATTTTACTCATCCGATTTGCAGCCGCTACCGATAATACTTAGTCCAAGGGGGAGTATTATAATACGAATTCAATGTTTCTTGTGGACTAAGTAATTAAGAGGCAAAATTACGTGTCAATACCTCCTTTGTATGAATCATGTAATAGCATGACAATGCTAGTTATCCTCCTGTATAAATAGCTCCTATTACAATACAAACAAGATACTAATTCTTCAACAACTTCTTTAGCATAATTTATCTCTTCGTTTATATTTTATCTTTCTTGCTATTTTACTTGGCACCCTCACTTAATATATATAATTATATATTTTATCTTATGAGCTAATAGGGTTTATTCTACAACAAATATATATATAATTGCAGATGCTAAAAGGAATAGGCTGCAAATTCTAAGACTTATTTGGACTGAATCATAAAATTTTCAAACTCAAGTGACTAAAATGAAATTTTTGAAAATTTGAAGGAGTGAACAGTAAATTTCGAAAATTAGAATATGCAGCAGGTTCGTGATTTTAGCAAAAAAATTGATCTTCTTTTCTTTCTCATTTGGTTTGAAATTTTATCATCTAAACAAATTGTATGAAAAAACTTCACTTATATACCTCCATATCTATGGATTGGAAATGAAATTTGAATCATTAAACTCTTGTGCTTCAAAATCTTTAAATTGATTCGTAACTCCATAAAACGATGCAATTTCTTGACATTTTCTATTGGTGCTCGATAAAGCTTATCAAAATGCTTTATTGTAAAATGGATACATGACCAATCATTTTTCATATTTCTCATTTCTCTACCACTTTTAATGATGAGATAAAATTTATAGTGAATAAGATTGAGCACCATGATAGCTATTTATGCCAATATATCTCTTCGGTTTTTTAATATAGTTGTTTTCACTTTCAAAGAATAACAACAATTGAATGAGCTTTGTATTAGCTCATAAATCGTACTATAGTACAATATGCTATCAAAATTCTTTATTTTGCTAGTATGAGTGCAAATGTTGCCACTTCATGATCATAATATAGATCCAAAATATTGCTAGCTACTACGATAGCCTTTCAAGTCACAAACTTGTAGAGCATTTTCTTTTATATATTTCCATAAATAACTTTATTTTAAGTTACTTTTACTTACATGTTCAAGACACATATATACCTCCATTCTTTATACTTGTATCTCCAAGATACAAAAATAGTTTGCTCATGTCTTGTAGACACATATCAACAACATGAAAAAATTTGTCCTTCGGACATGCAAATGGATCTCAATTTCAATGATCCAAGTTGGATATTTTCTTTTGGAAAGAGCAAAAAATATATTCAAACTTAGTGATTTTTGCTATATCATCGAATCACAAAATATTATTATCGAGTACAAAAATATATTACCCATATCCTCAAGTTTGAGTTTTATGTAATCGATATCGGGCCTCAAACCTCTATGATTGATACATAATAAAAAATTAAATAGTATCATAATAATTGAGGAATACCCATTAACTCAAAACTTGGTGTTTTATATCATTTTGACTGAGTCTAACGTTTTCAATCGATATTCAACAAAAGCCTTTTTAGAACTTTAAGTTCAATGTGATCATAATAATATTTGAGCCATTCCACAAATGAGTTAGAGCCACATATTTGGCCTCACAGTCCAAATCTTCTTTATGAAAAATTGCACTTTACCTATTCCATTTAGGACTTTAATCTCACAAACCACCAGAAAAACTTAAGATGGAATTGAATCAAAGTAGTAATCGGGAGATAGTTATTAATTTTGTCAATAAATGACGGTAAGCAGCATAATGTAACACTGAAAATAAATTGTCATATAGAATATATAGTTCCGAACGTATACTATTCATATAAATGAAATCAAACATTAAACATGATGATGTTAAATATTAGATTATCATGGTGATATACATAAATGGGCTTAACGTCGACAAAAGGTTGAAGCCGATCAAGCAAAGGAAACGAACATTTGGACCCGAACGCAACAAGCACATCAAGACAGAAGTGGCGAAACTTCTAGAGGCGGGTCATATACGACCAGTTCAGTATCCTGAATGGTTGTCGAACGTGGTACTCGTTCCCAAACCCGGGGGAAAGTGGAGGTTATGCGTAGATTTCACTGACTTCAACAAGGCTTGTCCTAAGGACCCATTTCCTTTACCTAGAATCGACCAACTCATCGATGCAACTTCGGGATGTGAGTGATACGCGTTTTCCTCACGTATAAATTACCGCAAGTATACGGTATCGCATTTTGCAGAACAGTGGTTCCGGATATCGATCCACAGGGACCTTGTAGATTCAAATGCTGAGTAGTGTAATTATATTATCGTTATATTATCTAGCCGATCGTAAATAAGTGGATTGGTGATAAACCCTAATTTAAAAGCATGCAAGATCGTAAACATGCAAATATGGAATATACGTAAATAAAGTACGACAACTCAACGCGGGGGGACTTCGATTTAAAGGGGACTTCTAGGGCCAAATCCACCTATATATAATCAACAACGATTTACAAATCCGTTATCTAACGCCACATTCCTATTCGTTAACCCAGACGCTAAAGTACTCTAACCCCCGTCTCCAGTGTAGTTAGAGTCTACCCACAGGTCCGACGTCTCCGTTCAGAACCTGCTATTAAGAGAGCATTTAGGTCAAGTCCTTAAGGGCTACCCGAAGTGCATCACGTCTCCGTTTCCACACCCCGAGCTATGTTTTCCTAACTTCAAACAAGAAATCCTCTCTCGAGTTCATTCCTATTTAATATCAATCTGAGAGCTGATCAACACAATCAGAAGCATTTAATACAGGAAAACATAAACGAATTCAAAACACGACAAATAGATAACAGAAACGACGATCGAAATCAATATATACAAGGCTTCATTCCCTAGAAGAAAATGTTCTTAGTTCATAACAAACATAGTATCAAAAGGATGTACAAAGGAAATGAAGAACAAAACGTAAAGAAATTGCATAAGAAAAACCCAAGTCGGAACCCCCGTTGATGATTCCCGCGAAGAACTGTCGAAAACCATAAAAAGTCGAAGTAGAACGAAGGGTGAGGGCTTGCTTCTATTTATAGTAAATTGCAAAGCTTCCTCAAGAAGCTTCACTTTCTAAAATATCTGCCCTCGAAAATCGTGCCAGATCGCGATCCCATAAAGTCGGATCGCGATCTGGCTTCTCGAAAAAACGTGAACCGCCACCCGGATCGCGATCCAGGAAGTGCGGATCGCGATCTGCCCCAAAATCCCGATGCTACTGGAATTTGTCACCAGATCGCGATCCGACTTTCCTGGATCGCGATCTGGGTCTGGACTTGCTCGCTACTGGAATTTGCATCCAGATCGCGATCCGACTTTCCTGGATCGCGATCTGGGTCTTAATGACCACTTTCTCGGCTTCAAAATCGGTTTCGCTTCCAAATGGCTTCGACTTGGCAACAAAAGCTAACAAAACCTAAAAAAGGAAATAAAACAAGAAACGCAATAATATATACAAGTAAAGCCGAAACTCGGACGAACGAAGACCAAAACTCGAAGATTTGATAAGCTAAAATCGTGCAAAATGACCACTTATCACACCCTCAAACTTAGATCTTTACTCGTCCCGAGTAAATCAAAACGAAACTACAACAAAAATGAAATAAAAACAACAAACTAAACTAGGCCACTAACGTAGGGAATCACGATTGCATTTAGCGTATGCAACAAGCCTTTGAACCCCTGGGTACCCCCAAAGGACGAGTTGTGTCTCGTGAGGGTTTTCAGACAACACACCCACAAAGTTGCCGGATTGGTTAAAGCATTGCAATTAATTCGAAAGATGAAACGAGCTAGATAACCTAAAATCTTAGAATGGCATACGGCTTAAGGTATTCGACTTTCTTACCGACGCAATTAGTTGTTTCTACACCAAAATGAAAGATAGACTCAAGAATCCGTAATTAAACAATAAACACAATTATCGAGGGTTTTGAGTAGAAATGTGGGTGAAAAGTAAGTTTTGATTCAGAAATTCAAAAACTCGAGTTGGGCATAAGTAGGTCTATTTATTCAAATAAAAGAAATGACAACTACAATATTTTTGGTGATTTTCATCACAACTTTTTTCTTTTTTTCATTTTTTTTTGAAACGGGCATAATCGTGACTCGTGCAAGGCCCGACACCACTGTGTTATCTCCCTGACCCATTTATCGAACTTTAGTCCAAGAAACCCCCAAGCTCGACAGCTCGGGAGACTTAGGCGACGAGGTGCACCCAACGGGTTAAGCTCGAGTCAGAAAGGCGGGAAAATCAGAGCGTGAATCACAACAATACCACAAATTATTATTTTTATCTAATTTTTCTTTTTTTTTTTTTTTTTTTTTTTTTTTTTTTTAATCATCAATAACATAAAATAAAAACGTAAAGACTATTGATAGAACTTTTAGCCAACAAATCAAGTCGTGAACACATAATTCAATTCTAACTCGCCCCCCAAACCTCAGACTATTATACCCCTCAAAAAAGTGCGCTCAAGCTTAATCGGAAAGGATTCGAAAGGCTATCCACATAAGTTGCAAAAACGCAGTCGGAAGGTACATCTATAATTAGCCGGTTATCCATAATTTCAATTTTAAAATCAACTAGCCCATCTACTAATTCATTAATTGCTTTGCTTCAATAGAATCCGGAAATGCAACTTACACTCGATCCTATATGAAATGCATGTGACAAACATAACACAATTACGGAAATCGAAATACATAAATAAAACTAAATTATATGATATGCATGCAAAAGACCAAATCAAAATAAGATAAATAAAATAAAATAAAAACAAAGTCTAGCAAAGATACATCGTAAACGAAATATCAATCCAACGACTTATCCCAAAACAACCGAACAAAAACAAACAAACAGGTTCAACACACACCACCCTCAAACTTAAATTCTAGCATAGTCCCTATGCTCAAAAGCAGAATAAAAAAATAAAAGGGATAGAAAACTCAACGTCCCCTAGTTGTCTTGATCGTCCTCGTGGGCTCCTCCCTCCTCTTCCGGTCGTCCCCGCTCGTACTCCTCCCAGGCCTGCGCCACCAGTGTAGTGGCTGCCGCTTGTGCTTGCTCGTCGGCGGCGGAGGTTGATGCTCCATCATATCGAGGCCGTGGTGGGAACGGCCGTGGCTCGACAATGTCATCGGTCCTGCACTGAAGCGCTGCAGCCATGGCCTTCATCATTTTCTTGAACCATCCCACATTTGCCTCCATAACATCCATCCATTGGCCGACATACTCCGGGAGCTGTGGTTCTGCTTCTTGTCTGCCTCTTCTGGCCCTTTGTTCTGGTCGAGCCGCATGAACACCTGAGGGACCCGCATCTGGTAAGTCTGAGTCGCCCTCGCCTAGGGGTCCACTCGCTGGCTGGAGCTTGTGGTAAGGGAAGATAGGCTGTGGTGACCTGGTGAGCCGGTCATCCGCGTATGTTGGGACCCCTGCACGATCACACAGTGTAGTGATGAGGGAAGGGAACATCAGACCTAGAGAGGTATCACCTAAGCATCGTCGGATCTCAACGTGTATGATCGCGCCCACATTCACAGGTGTCCTCTTCATAATGGCATACATCAGTGTAAGACGTGGGGCATAGGTCTTGGCCGTCGATTTTGTGGGCATGAGCCTGCTACTGACGAAGTACATCCACACCTTCGCTTCCCTTGAAAGTTCCCCCCGACGGAACCAGTGCTCTCCTTTTTGCCACTTCGAACCCCTAGGGCAAAGAGTCTGAATCAGCTCCTCATAGGTCGTTGCCATCTTCAGTTGTTGAAACGGCTCGGTCGAGACTTCGGGTAGGTGGAAAAACTTGTTGATTGTAGCAGCGTCATAGCGCACCTCTTTGTCTCGAAGAACGACCACCGACCCCGGGTGAAAACCGGCATTGGCATAGAAGAGCCTCACTAGATTCTCGTTGTAGTCCTCCGGTCGTTTGGCCAAGTACTTCCATTGTCGACGATCAAAGTTTTCTATGATCGATTCTTTTTCCATGCCATCGATATCTAATTCCCTTTCTGGAACAAACGGTCGGCTATGGCGACGTATGAATTCCCTTTTGGCCTCGACGTTCACGTACAAAAACTCATCTCCCGGTTCGAGGACTACGCGGTCAAGGATGGTGTGTTGATTAGCACGGGATCCCATCTCAAGTTGCACGTTTCCCGTGCGTGGGGTTTGTTGCTCTTCCGGCACCTGAGATGGTGGTGGTGCGCTCGAAGTGCCTTCTTGGCTTCCCGTGCCTCGAGAGGCTGCCTTTTTCTTCGGTGCGGCTTTTCCTTTTGCCGGAGCCTTCTCCTTGGGTTGGGCTTTTTTGGTGGTTTCGCCCGTCTTTAAGAGTTTCTTGGCCGGCGACGTCATTTCGTTCGAATTTGTGCGAGAAGGAGGGTCGAAAGCCTTTGGAAGTTCGTTCGGGAATTTTGTCGAACACTTGGCGTGCCCAACTTGGTAAGCCTTTTCATTTCCACCGGTTGTTCGGTACCTATCCCTCCTACATCAATCACAACACCCAACTGAGAATCCACCACTACATACAACATTAGGTAGCAAAACAATCAACCCAAGTCATTCAAATTTTTAGTTTATCCTTCATTTCGAAATTAAGAACAATAGGTCAATTCCTATATCTAAACATTGGTTCACCCGCAAATTCATGTTTTGAATCCCAACACCTAGTACAAAATCACATACTAGCATACACAATTAACAAACAAGGGAAAAAAACATGAAATTTTGGGGAAATTCGAAAGAATTGAAGAAAATAAAAAAATTAAGACTAGATTGAAAATTTACCTTTTCTTGAAGATTCACCCACAAATTCTTGGAATAAATGTGAAAATCGTGAATTTGTGATGATCAAGTGTGTGATTGATGTGCTTTTGATGAAAGAAATTGAAGATTTTGAAATTGGGGAGGGGTTAGGGTTTGGAATTAGAAAAGGGAGAATAAGAAAATGAAAGGGGGTTTGTGAATTTTGTACTGTTTTTCGACCCCAGATCGCGTTCCACAATACCCGGATCGCGATCTGGGGGCTTACCTTGCAGCTTCTGGAAAAAGGCCCCAGATCGCGATCCGATACGCGTTTTCCTCACGTATAAATTACCGCAAGTATACGGTATCGCATTTTGCAGAACAGTGGTTCCGGATATCGATCCACAGGGACCTTGTAGATTCAAATGCTGAGTTGTGTAATTATATTATCGTTATATTATCTAGCCGATCGTAAATAAGTGGATTGGTGATAAACCCTAATTTAAAAGCATGCAAGATCGTAAACATGCAAATATGGAATATACGTAAATAAAGTACGACAACTCAACGCGGGGGGACTTCGATTTAAAGGGGACTTCTAGGGCCAAATCCACCTATATATAATCAACAACGATTTACAAATCCGTTATCTAACGCCACATTCCTATTCGTTAACCCAGACGCTAAAGTACTCTAACCCCCGTCTCCAGTGTAGTTAGAGTCTACCCACAGGTCCGACGTCTCCGTTCAGAACCTGCTATTAAGAGAGCATTTAGGTCAAGTCCTTAAGGGCTACCCGAAGTGCATCACGTCTCCGTTTCCACACCCCGAGCTATGTTTTCCTAACTTCAAACAAGAAATCCTCTCTCGAGTTCATTCCTATTTAATATCAATCTGAGAGCTGATCAACACAATCAGAAGCATTTAATACAGGAAAACATAAACGAATTCAAAACACGACAAATAGATAACAGAAACGACGATCGAAATCAATATATACAAGGCTTCATTCCCTAGAAGAAAATGTTCTTAGTTCATAACAAACATAGTATCAAAAGGATGTACAAAGGAAATGAAGAACAAAACGTAAAGAAATTGCATAAGAAAAACCCAAGTCGGAACCCCCGTTGATGATTCCCGCGAAGAACTGTCGAAAACCGTAAAAAGTCGAAGTAGAACGAAGGGTGAGGGCTTGCTTCTATTTATAGTAAATTGCAAAGCTTCCTCAAGAAGCTTCACTTTCTAAAATATCTGCCCTCGAAAATCGTGCCAGATCGCGATCCCATAAAGTCGGATCGCGATCTGGCTTCTCGAAAAAACGTGAACCGCCACCCAGATCGCGATCCAGGAAGTGCGGATCGCGATCTGCCCCAAAATCCCGATGCTACTGGAATTTGTCACCAGATCGCGATCCGACTTTCCTGGATCGCGATCTGGGTCTGGACTTGCTCGCTACTGGAATTTGCATCCAGATCGCGATCCGACTTTCCTGGATCGCGATCTGGGTCTTAATGACCACTTTCTCGGCTTCAAAATCGGTTTCGCTTCCAAATGGCTTCGACTTGGCAACAAAAGCTAACAAAACCTAAAAAAGGAAATAAAACAATAAACGCAATAATATATACAAATAAAGCCGAAACTCGGACGAACCAAGACCAAAACTCGAAGATTTGATAAGCTAAAATCGTGCAAAACGACCACTTATCAGTGAGCTCCTCAGCTTCCTTGACGCTTATCAAGTGTATAACCAAATCTTGCTCGCACCAGAAGACCAAGAGAGGGTTAGCTTCGTCACAGACCAAGGCATCTACTGCTATCGAGTCATGCATTTCGGATTAAAAAACGCGGGAGCCACTTACCAACGTCTAGTGAACGCCATGTTCGCACACAAGATCGGTAAGAATATGGAGGTATATATCGACGACATGCTTGTCAAAAGTGTCAAGGTCTCAGACCACCTAACTGATCTGGATCAGTGCTTCGCTACCCTGCGAAAATATAAAATGAAACTCAACCCCCTCAAATGCTCGTTCGGAGTTCGGGGTGGCAAATTTTTGGGGTACATGATTTCACAACGGGGAATCGAAGCTAATCCCGCAAAAATCGAAGCAATTACCTCCATGCCACCACCAACATCTATCAAGAAAGTCCAACAGCTTAACGGTTGTTTGGCATCTTTGAATAGATTCATTTCTAGATCAGCGGACAAGGCCCTCCCCTTCTTCAAAATTTTAAGGGGAGGAAAGAAATTTGAATGGGATGAAGCATGTCAAAAGGCATTCGTTGAGCTGAAGTCGTACCTAGCATCCCCACCCCTGCTCACAAAACCTCAGCCCGGAGACACTCTCCTACTATACTTAGCTACCTCAGCTAATGCCGTCAGCGCAGTCCTCATCCGAGATGGAGGAAAAGGCCACCAACCCATATACTACATAAGTCGCGCCCTCCAAGGAGCCGAACAACGCTACACCAACATGGAGAAACTCGCTCTCGCCCTCATCAACGCAGCTCGGAAGCTTCGACCTTACTTCCAGTCACATCAAGTGGTGGTTCTCACCAATTATCCAATGAAGCAAATATTAAGGAGTCCTGAGACATCCGGGCGATTAGCAAAATGGGCGATAGAGCTAAGCGAATATGGGGTCGAATTTAAACCCTGCCCCGCTATTAAAGCGCAAGTATTGGCTGATTTTCTAGTCGAAATGACTTCAGTAGAAGAAAACACCTCTCTACCTACTTGGTCTATCAGCGTCGATGGATCTTCCACTGCCACAGGAGGGGGAGCGGGTATCGTCCTAACGAACCCTGATGGAGACGAGTTCGAATATGCTCAACGATTCGAATTCACAGCCTCAAACAACGTCGCTGAATACGAAGCACTGATAGCGGGAATCCGCCTCGCCCTAGCAGCCGGAGCGCGCAAGCTCCTAATCCAAAGCGACTCTCAGCTCGTCGTTAAACAAGTACTCGGAGTTTACGAGGCCGAAGAAGACATCATGGCCAAATACTTAGCTCTCGCGCACACTCTCTTATCTAAATTCGAGAGCTACGAGATAAGACAAGTACCTCGCTCCAATAACATCCATGCAGATAAGTTAGCCAGGCTGGGAAGCTCCATGGCCAGCATCGGAAGTCGGAAGGTGACGCTCCTCACCTCGCCTCAGCCGGAGATAAATTCGCCTACTGAAGTACACTACACCGAGGAGGATGAACCATGCTGGTTCACTCCAATCCTGAAGTATCTCAAAAAGGGGGAACTTCCAACGGATCCCACTGAAGCACGGAAGTTAAAAACAAGAGCCGCCCGCTTCACTATAGTGGGAGAAGAACTGTACAAACGAGGTTTCTCATTCCCCTATCTCAAGTGCCTCGACCCGACCACAGCGGATTACGTACTTAGAGAAGTACACGAAGGCATCTGCGGTAATCACTTAAGCGGGAGAACCTTAGCTCTCAAACTACAGAGACAAGGCTACTATTGGCCAACGATGCATGAAGACGCGAAGAAGTTAGTCCGGAAGTGTACGCCTTGCCAAGAGCATGCAAATATTCCTCACCTGCCAGCGGCATTAATGCAACCAATTGACAGCCCCATCCCCTTCGCTCAATGGGGAATGGATTTAGTTGGACCATTCCCGCCAGCCACAGGAGGACGTAAATACCTCATTGTAGCAGTGGACTACTTCACCAAATGGGTGGAAGCTGAACCCTTAGCACGCATCCGAGAAGAAGAAGTCATCCAATTCCTATGGAAGAACATCGTGTGTCGCTTTGGGATCCCACGCTCCATTATCTCAGATAACGGAACCCAATTTTGTGGTGACAAAATAAAGAAATGGTGCCTCGGCTTAGACATCAAACAGTTCTTCACATCCGTAGCCAATCCACAGGCTAACGGCCAGACGGAGGTCACGAATCGCACCATACTCCAACACCTTAAGACAAGGCTTGGAAGTGCCAAAGGGAAGTGGGTGGACGAATTGCCTAACGCACTATGGGCTTATCGCACAACCCCACGAGCAGCAACCGGAGAGTCGCCCTTCAATCTAGCTTTCGGAACAGAGGCTATCGCACCCGTCGAAATCGGAGAACCATCTTGGCGAATCACCAAGTATGACCCAGCAGCTAATGAAGAGGCTATGCGGGGAAGCCTAGACCTCGTAGATGAGTTACGTGAGATTGCATACATCCGACAACAGATGTATAAATCACGCATGGCCAAGGCCTATAACTCAAAGGTCCGCCCTCGCTCATTTCAAGTTGGAGATTTAGTCCTCCGAAAAGCTGAAGCCTCCCACCCCATCGGTAAGCTCGACCCAAAGTGGGAAGGACCGTATAAAATCACGAAGGTGGTCAACACTGGAGCATATCGCCTCGAGAACATTGACGGACACCCTATACCCAGAACATGGAATATAGGGAACCTCAAACGGTTCTACGCCTAAGGTATACATCTACCTTACTTAAGATCAGTTGAGATCATCACCCATATTTCTTCTATATGAAAGTTACTTACGAATTGTCACCCGTGCAGGCTCCACGACCTTCCACGTCACTCGTCTTGTAAAGCTGTCTCTACATGGTTGGAAATTTGACACCACATAACGAGGTGCGTTAACGTC